TAGATAGTTAAATTAGCAATTTCAGTTTCATGGAAGTTTCATTTGGTGAGGAGTTTTGAGAACAAGATTATTGAGGTTGTGTTATTGCTATTTGCAGGTCATTACTCGTCAATGTTTGGAGGCCTTGCAATACTTGCATAGCTTGGGAATAATTCACTGCGATCTAAAGCCAGAAAATATTCTCATTAAAAGTTATAGAAGATGTGAGATTAAAGTCATTGATCTAGGAAGCAGTTGCTTTCAATCAGACAATTTATGCCTATATGTGCAGTCGCGATCCTATAGGGCCCCTGAAGTGATGCTAGGCCTCCAATATGATGAAAAGATTGACATATGGTCTCTTGGCTGTATATTGGCTGAGCTATGCTCTGGTGAGGTATGTCCTAATTTGCCTCAGTATGATATTTTTCTATGTTATGCAAGTGGTATTTTGGGCAAACTACAAAATTTGGAGAAATTTGCTGATTGTTAATCTAGTTTTTTTGTCTTCTCAAGGTGCTCTTTCCAAATGAAGCTGTTGCAATTATTCTCGCGCGCATGATTGGGATGCTTGGTCCTATTGATCTGGAGATGTTAGTTAAGGGGCAGGAAACCCACAAATATTTCACAAAAGAATATGATATTTACCATGTAAATGAGGTGCGTTCCCCATTCGAACTCCTTTACGACTATCCGCTTTTAGAATCAGAAATTCAGCGCTTGCATTTTTAGTTCTATAAATGAAATATATTCCTTTTTGACTCACTTATTTAGCAACCAGACCTAGTTCTATTCTTTTGTTGCTATAAGAGTTCAGTTCTTATTTGTGCATTTTCTCTGCGGGATATGATAAAATTTATGGTTCCGCACTGTACTCCACTGCCAAATTTATGATAAAATATGCAAATAAAAATAGACAAAAGATCAGATATATCAGTGCAGAGTTGCGTTCGTCAACAAAATCTGCATCTCAGATGTTTCCAACATAATTCCTGGCATTGTTCGCAGGAGACAAACCAACTGGAGTACATAATTCCAGAGGATTGGCCGTTGGAGCAGCACCTGCAGGTTTCTGATATGATGTTTATTGACTTTGTCAGATTCTTGCTTAGCACCAATCCCAGAAGGCGACCAACTGCAAAACAGGCACTAAAGCACCCGTGGCTTTCCTATGTTTATGACTCCCGGTAGAGCACCCATTCATCTCCTGAATGGATGCTTACTGATTCTGATGCAGTTATATTACATGAGTCATGGAGCATCTTGCATACTGGAGTTTGCAGTCACAGTTTTGGCTTTCGATTATATTAAAGAGCAACATCATTTCTTCCCCTTTTATCCTGTACATTTTTTATTCTCTTCCCGTTCATTAAGTACTTTTGTACAGAACAATGTGCCCATTGATTTTGCCTTCAGGATGGGGAGACTGAGCATTGCTCAAGAAGAAAAGGAAAGGCAGAAAAAGAAAGAAACAGATAAAGAAAAACTGATTCTAAATGTTGGGGATGCAAACGCCAAAGCGCGAAAATAATTCATTTGCGATCTGACGTTGTCATATATATACGGAAAGAAGGAAGAATATTTTGGCTATATGCGGTTAATGTAGTATAATCCAAGTGCATTTTTTCAAATATATGATACAACTAAATGCATATCCATACACAAATATATCAATTTTGAATTTGAACCAAGAACCTCATTCAAGCGTGGCGGAAGGCTTTGTTGTTAGGACAACTATCATTGAGACATTGACGGCATAATCTAAGTACTCATAAACACTTCATGCATGAATTTTCCCAATGGCGTGATTTTATCTGAAAAATGTTCAATGGCAATTTTGCCATCTTCAATTCCTCATCTATCAGAAAGAGAGAGACGTTGATTGAATTTTTTTTAAAAAAATATTTTATTATCTAAATGATACTATTTGAATTGTTTTGTTGAAGAAAAATTCATCAATATGAAAATATACGACAAGAAATTTTATATCATTCACAAATCACGATACATTGTGATACTTTTTTTTCTGATCTTTAATATAAGAGTTAGTTGATCAATTTAAGTAAATTAAGAAAATTAGTTAAGTTATTTATTTGTAATAAATAGTTTTTTTCTAAAATATCCTTATTAATCAAATGTATTGGTTAAAATTATCATTATTACAAGGAGTATCTCAGAAAAATAAATAAACATAAGTGACAAAATAGATTGAGATCTTATATTTAAGACTCAAATAAAAGTTAAACGAGCTATTATGCTACCTTTAGTCCTTAATATAAGAGTTAGTTGACTAATTTGAATAGATTAAAGAAACTAGTTAAATTAGTTATTTGTAATAAACATGTGTTGTTTTTTCTAAAATATCCTTACTAATCAGGTGTATTAGACTATTAGTTATAACTATCATTATTATAAGAATTATATTAAATAAATAAATAAATATGAGAGATAAATCTCTGCAAATGCTTTGCCTTTGCCCTTCATCTTCACCGCATTCCCTGATTGATTAAGTGCAAAACCAATAACAAATCTATCAGCAACCTTTTGATGATGCAGTCGAATCCTTGAGGTCTAGATACAAGATCATTAACTTATATGAGATCATATTTGAAAAAACGAAAGGAGTTTCTAATGATGATTTAACTCTGCATCTTTTGCCGCTCCTTCTTCATCTTTGTATCTTTTCCTTGCTTTAACCTCTGCCTCTGCTTCAACTCCATCATTTAGGTTGATCTACATCTTCATCTTTTGCTGCTAGGTCTATTCCATTGCTATGCACTCAAGATCTGAAGCAGAGGCAGATTTAAAGAAGAAAGACGAAGACTTGTTAATCACCATTGTCGAGGGTTCCAAGAAGGAAGACGGAGATCTGAAGATAGAGATGAGTCGCCATCGTAGCATCCTCAATTTTGCCTCTTTCCAGCATCATCACCGTCACAAGAATGAAAGGGGAGGGCGACGCCGGCGTAGTTGTGTATGGGAGTTTCAGAAGTTGATGGTAGAATGAGAGGACGGGGGGCGGGTGAGGGGTAATCTGGTCCAAAAATATTTAGTCCTGAGATTGATTTTCAATTACGGGGGGCTGGCAATACGAGATAATAGGGGTGTTCATAGACAGGGCTGGACAGGGCATACCCCTGCCCGATGCTTGGCCCAAAAGATGAGCGGGTTGCATTTTACTGTCCGCTGCCCTGCTCATAAAAGCCCTAACTATTTTTGGGCTGGGTAATAACGGGTTGGGCAGGATGGGCTTCCAAGCCCAAATAGTGATACTTTGGTGAAATTTTTTTTAGTTAAAGTAAGGGTATCTTATAATAGCTATAAAGAAATAAATACTTGAATAAACAATAAATTTAACAAATCAATAACTTTGATTTGTCTTAAATTGATATATCTTTTAATACAACATTAAAGTGAGCTTGTTTTTGCATCTTTGCAAGACAACCAACGATGAAAACAAACGACAAGATACTAAACCAGATTAGAAAAACATTAAAAAGATACTAAAAAGGAAGAATTACACATACTACTAAATACATCTATGGCAAATGGAAGATGGGAGAATAATATATATTATTATATATATTATATATCATTATAAGTATTTCTGGCAAAAAAAAAGAATTATAAATATATATCACGGGCACGGCAGCATACCTGCCTGCAGCCTAGCCCTGCCCATAATATGCCCAGCCCAAAAATACCTATTTTTCTTTGGGTTATTTTTTTTTTCAGGTTGGGCAGGGCTATTTTTCCGCGGGCTCAGGTGGGCATACCGGGCTAGCGGGCTTGATGAACAACACCCCTACCAACGAATCCCACAAAAAGTGGTATTGAGCAATCCTGGGATTGCTAAAGTCCATGTACCAAACATAACAAACTGAGCAATACCAATACCAATCCCTGTGCCAATCCTCCCATTCCCTTGTACCAAACAGGGCCTAAAGTTCCAACTTCTTAGTTTTAAGTCAAATTTGGCATTATCAGCGTTACTGTGGAGACAGGGAGGGGAACGATTTGGTCAAACTAGAATTTATGATGAGTATCTAAAACCCTTGTGGCCTAGAGAAGATTCAATGATTCATGAATTGGACCGGGTCGAGCTTTTCAACAAATGGTACCCCTTTCCAAATGGTTGATGTGTATTTACTTCGTAAACACTTAATAACAAAATATCGGCTCTGGTTAAAAAAAAGAAGAAGAGCAAAATAATGAAATATCGGTAAGTGATCACGAATGGAACCAAGCCACCCGCAGATTGCGAGGAGAGTAGCAACAATGCTGGAGGACAGCCTCCTTTGAACGACGACCCTGACATTCTCTCTTCTCATTGGCCCATTCAGTGCCGACCATATTTTTTGACCTTTTTTCCCCCTTAAAACAAATTCCTTGCATTGTCATATTACCCCTCGTCCCACGCTCCTCATTGCGTGTTTTGTATCTCTCGTCGGTTCCTGCTTTCCCTCGTCCTGAGCTAGAACAGGTAATTGGGGAACGGGCTCGTCCTGAATAAATTTAACAAATTTTGGGATTGTCTTTTGAAAAAAATAATTTTTTTCCATAATTAAGCTTTTTCTTATAAGATAATTGAGTTTTTTTCCTTTCTGCTAAAAAACGCGTATCTTCTAACTAGAGGTTAAACTAATTTAAGCGTGCCAAAAAACATTAAATTAAAATGAATTATTTTAATAAATATTTAGCTAATATAATCATATTCATATACTAAAAAATAAATATTAATTATGATAATTGTAGATCAAAATAGAATCTAAATTGTTCTAAGAATCACATTTTTTTTTCTAAAGAACATATCATTAAAAAGTAATTATAAATTTCATTTTGAAAATGAAAATAAAAATATTATTTAAAAATGTATTTGAAAAAGCTCTAACAATCAGACTTCCAGCCAAAACCCGAAAGCTCGAATGATTAGCTGGGCTTGTTCTTATAAGCTCGGACTTATTCGGGCCGGTTTGAATAAGCCGGTCCCCCTCCTCCGTGTGCTTCCGCCAGCACGGGTCACCACTCACCACAACCCTGGGATCGTCAACGCGTTCCCTCAGTCAATCCGCTACACGCGCCACCTCTGCGCGTTCTCCGATATCTCTCCTCCCTTATAGATCTTGTCGTATCACAACCATCGCGCCCAGGAAAGTCAGACGTATATACAGGGAAACACTAATCACAGAGCACTGTTAGCCATCGTAGTTGTTGTGTGGTGGGGAAGAATTCGTTCATATGGGCGAGTTGACTCAGGCGGAGGTGTACTCGCCGAGGACTCAGCAAGTCTGGAGGGCACTGTTGAGCTGGTTGGCCGCCTTCTTCCAGATCTTCTTCCAAATTATTAGAGCCCTCGGCCACTACCCTTTACTCTCTTTCTCTTCTTCTACTCCTTCCTTTAAGCCTCTGCCCGCCGTTGAGTTGCAGGAAGCTGATTTGCCCCCTGCCTCCGCCGTTGATATCACCGCCGCCGGGTACTCCGGTTTCAACGATCAGCCTGTCCAAAAACTCACGGTAAGAAAGATTTGTGATTCTTTTGAAATTGTTTTCGCTCCTCCCTCTAGCGAATAGAACGAAGGTTTTCGATTGGGCATTGTGTGGGATGCCTGTGTTTGTATTTACGACCCATGATCACCACAAATTTCGTTGGGTGCTAGTAGAATTCATGTTGTTAAGATGATGGGAGGACGATTGACTAGACATCGGGGGTGCCTGATGAAATTTTCTATAAAATGGTTGTCATAGACTCGAATGAACTATTCAAGATGTTGTCCGGCGCGTATAAGATAACTTCAATGTTATTTGACTCTACCAAAGTGAGCACTTTTATAACAATCTGGCTTGGAAAAACCTTCAGTTTTGTGATGTTACAACTGCAGAGGGCGGTAAAATTACTTTTAGCAGATGATGAATATCGGTAACCATACTACGTGGGTGAATCTGCTATCAAAATAAAACAGTAGAATGTAATTGGAGGTAACTTGGTGGCGTGTCCTTGTCCTTTTCAGCTCCATTTCTAACTTAAATGTGGTTCGATTAATTTATGAACATCACGTTTCTGGTGCCCACATAGACAAAGCGTAAATATACCTGTCAGTCCGCCATTTCTTTTGCTTGCTGTCTACTTCTATTTGTTCTATTTATGTTTCTGCTTTTTCATTCTGTTGTGGTTCCTTTTCTGTTCATATTTCTCGATGTCAAGCTAGTTTCACTTGAGCAGCTTATATGATATGTCAATTGGCCTGGTCTTGTTGATATGAGGAATTTTCCAAAGTGGTAAATGGCAAAATACAACTCTTTTAAGGGGCTATGGAAGGATATGAAAGATATGCAACCAATATTTGATTTGTTTGACTAACAAAATAGTATCACACCACTCTGCTGAAGAGAATTAAGTTCTAATACTTGTGTGAATAAGATTTCTTTTAAGTAAAATTGTGAATATAATTTCAAAACACCCTGGTTTCCGCTATTTCATGACTGGTGAAAGTCAAGTAAGATAAGTTATTCCACATCTGATTTGTATTTTCTTTCAATTTCCGCGAGCTGTTATAAGATTTCACCAATTGTTATTCTTTTGCCTTCCCCCCCCCCCCTTTTCCTTCTCCCTCCTGTCTACTTGAATCCCAGATCATATTTTCCTATTTTAACACAAGAATCCTAATGTTAATGTGGATTCTGATTTCCATGTGCATTTGTAGGTAGTACTTGATTTGGATGAAACATTGGTTTGTGCTTATGAGACGTCAAGCTTGCCAGCCTCACTTCGTACTCAAGCAATAGAAGCTGGTTTGAATTGGTTTGAACTGGAATGTATATCTTCAGACAAGGTATGTTACTCGATGTTGCATTGGCTTGTCTAGTGCCATAATATTATGTATTTACTTGAGCATGGTGAACTTTCAAGGAAGGAGATGGAAAACCAAAAGTCAATTATGTTACAGTTTTTGAGCGCCCTGGGTTGAAGGAATTCTTAAAGCAAATTAGTGAGTTTGCTGAGTTGGTGCTATTCACTGCTGGTCTTGAAGGTTTGCATCACAGTTCTGAGCTGCTCATGGGCTTCTTTGTTTTCCTGATGTTTTTGTCATTTTCCCAAATGATATTCATCAATTTATTCTCACAGGTTATGCCAGACCCCTTGTTGACAGGATAGACATGGAAAATTGGTTTAGTTTACGACTTTATCGACCCTCAACAACTAGCACGTAAGTGCTTCTTCCTTGCCTTTCATCCAAAGTCCTACATTTGCTTGATTAATTGTTACAAGAAAATGTTGGGGTCATGGATCATAAAGAGTTATAAAGTCCACTCTATGAATTGATGGCTGATCACTAATAATCTCTAATCAGTTATGAATGCGTAATTCAAGCCTCTGGCACTACAAAAATGTGTGAAAACAATGATTGGTATGGCAATGTTATATTGTCGATGAGTATTTTCTGTGCCTCTTTCAAAGAAAGCTAAGAATATTATTTGGAATCATTTTGAAAAATTATTATTTACAAATTTGTGGCCAGTGAGCTTTATCAATGACTCACTAGTCTTATTCTTCAAACATGTTCTCCGATTCAAATTCATAATTTAGTAATATATTTGAGATATGTTTTCAATTTTCCAATTATCATTAACCTTTCTTTCTTGTCCTTTTATTTTCGGTAACATTTTGACTATATAGAGTGATTACCATATTCCGTTGCTATTGTCAATGCTTAATATAGTCACATGATTCCTTAATACTGTTCCCATTCTTTTTTTTTTTTTTAATCAAAGTTAATCTAGAGAACACTGATGGAAAGCCCATTCAATCTGACATTGTGGGTCGAACTTTGTCATATTCAGATCATATTGCTGCACTTTATAAGACATTGTTGATGTTGGACTTGGTTAGCCGGGGGATTACAATGGATATTGTAGGCTAGAAATTTGGTTTTTCGGGTGAAATCACAATCCTACGAGTGTTAAGATTCCATCCTATCAAATAAACTCCATGTCCTAGAAGTATGAAAATTTCTGAATAAACCCGAGAATAAATAAGCATTTAAATGTAAAATCTTTATAGGCCCGATGACCCTTGGCAATTACAATTTAATAATAATATTTATGGAATATCATATCTAGCCATTTAATAATGTTTACGTAAACCTGAATTTTCAGAAAATTTATTTTAAAACATTGGCTTTCTTAATGCCAATGCTTCCCTTGCCACTGTTAAATTTGATGCCAGTCTGCTTCATAAGTAATTGGAATTTGGAAGAAATATTCGTGCCATTATGGGGTAAACACTGTCGAGAAGAATTCTTATTGATTAATTTCAAGTTACTCAATTCATTCAAGTTCTCTCATCAACTCGCACATTAATCTCTGTTGATTGGCAATACAGCGACCACTTGTACATGTGACAGGCAATGTAAGCAATTACAATTTAATAATAACTTTGGAATAACGTAACTAGCCATTCAATAAATCATACATAAACTGGAATTTTCATTATGCCAATGCATTCTTTACCACTGGTGTATGCCAAATTTTAACTGCAGCCTACTTCATAAGTAATTGGAAGAGATTTTGTGCCACAATGTGGGAAAAACTGTTAGCAAGAATTCTCACTGATTAATTTCAAGTTTCTCGATTCATTCAAGTTCTCACATCAACTGGTACATTCATCTCTGTTGACAGGCAATACAGGGAACACGTGAAAGATCTCTCTGGAATATCGAAGGATCTATGCCGAGTGGTTATTGTTGACAACAATCCGTTCAGCTTTTTATTGCAACCACTAAATGGAATTCCATGCATCCCGTTTTCTGCTGGGCAACCGCATGATACTCAGGTACATATTTCTGAACGTGGAACATTAAAAAATAGCCCAATGATTTTATATGATTCATCTCTTGTTTTTATCGCCTATCATCAGCTTCTAGATGTCATTCTTCCTCTTCTCAAGCACCTCTCTGAGCAGAAGGATGTAAGACCTGTGCTCTACGATAAGTATCACATGCCCGAGTGGTTTCAAAAGCAAGGGATTCCCGCTTCCTGTTGGACATTGTAGGGTTAACATTTTTTGGAATCAAACTCTGCTGCTTTTTGTACAATTTTTTGTTTTATTGCTGGAAGAATCGTTGCAGTAGAAGAAATAGACGTTTTGTATAGCACCCATTTGTTTCTGGGAGAACCAGAGGTCTCAAACGCTGCTTCTTGTAGTAAAAGCCGTTCGCCATTTATGTATCTACGTCTCTAGAAGTTTGATTTTTATGTTAAATGTGTTTATAGGCTTGCAATCTGCAGTAATGTAATGAATTTGCCGGTCTCTTGTACAACTGCTTATTTATAATTATTGGCAGTTAAAGCATTCACAACATTGCATTGTTGAACAGTAACAATTGTTTTTATTGTAATGCGGCAGGCTAACTAAACAATTTTTTCGGATTTCATGGGTAAAGTGGTTCCTCGCTAATTATATTCCGCTAAGATCAATTAGTTTGATACTTATCCTTTGGGATCCATATTCGGATTTCGGACTGACTCCTTCGCACCCTTACTATGTGACATGGCTTCATATTGTCTTTCGTTTTCTCTCCTACTGCAATATGCAATAATTTGAAATGATCTGAGTTGGAGATTTTGCCGTAGTGTACGTTGTACAGTGGTTATCAAAGAAATTAGGTAATTAAGGTTAGCATCCGAAAAGCATGTCTAGTGTTTCCCTGCTTGAAAAAAAAAAAACTGGCCAATGCACTCCCATTCCCAACAAGAAGACCCATCCTTTTACATGACAAAGCTGCCATCCCACTCTGTAACCGTCAGCCGTAGTTATCTTCTCTGTGGTTCCCCCGTGGCCTCATCCCATGCCCTCAGCTCAGGTGCCACCCTCGCTGCTTTCCGCCGCCGCTACCATGGCCCGCCCTTATCTTCCGCTTCATGGCAGGTACCCGGAATGATCATCTTTTGGCGTTGACAGCATTAATAAAAACAAAATTTGTTCGGTCACTAGTTCAACAATCATTTTTTAAAAAAAAAAAATTAGAAACTCCGGTACCGTTTTTATTTATAAATTTTCAGCAGATTTTTAGCAACAGCTTGTTTCATTAGGCTGATCCGCTACATGGCAAAATGGATGGCATAAACTATTAACATCAAAACTAGAAAGGCATTCCATCTTTAAGTTCATGATAATCACAGTAGGACACTTCAAAACTTCCAATATTTATTGAAGACTATCAACTCGGTATAACAGACAGATAAACTTTCTTCAAGACTCTTTTTTTTTTTTTAATAAAAAGAAAAGCTCCTATAATAAAACCAACTTGCATCATTATGTCCTCAGAATCTAACGCGTACTTTCGAGCATGTTGGGTCACTTCATCCTCATGGGCGGATAAAATTAACCACTGTACTTTATGAGATTCGAGAATATCTTCTTCGTCTTCGCTCATCAACTTCATTCATCCAGTCATTGAGCCATAAAAGACCCTTGTAGCCATAATATATGGCCGCAAGAAGGGCCATGAACAGTAAGACAAAAAGAAGAAGCCGTTTCGTAGAAGATGCAATTTTCTGTTCAATGATTGCATTCATCATAGTTAGGGACGAAGGAGGCAGTTGGAAGTTACTGTTTCTTTTAGAGAATTGACATACCTGCAGTTTTGTTGATTGGCTGGACTGCTGTATGCGTTCCCGCCTTTTCCGTCGTTTTGGTACTGACTTTCCAGTCTCGGGTGCTTTTTCCTTCATTAGTCATACAAATTGCATTAGAACTCTTCGCACATTTTGGTACTGATTTTGCAGAAAAGTCATAAAGAATTCTTATGCTTTCGTCTCTTCCCAGTCTAGGATTCAGGTGAACTATAGTTTGCCAGAGCATCAGAAAATTACACGTACATTTTACCAGTTAGAACTCAGCATAACTTACAGGGTAAGTTATATAAATGTAAAGTATCTCAGTTTCACACACATGTTTTACCAAAATTATTTTTCAGTTCTAAGTTGGCTCTGAAATTTGTAATTAATTTCACTGACAATGAGAACATGGAAAGCTAAATTTTCACAAGTTCAGCACAAATAGAGAGTTAAAAACGATGGGATAACAGATGAATTTCAATATGGAAAGTCACCTCCATAACTTGGGATTTACGTAATTGCAGTTCTGACTCAACAACTTGCGCTTTACTCTTGCAATCAGAATTGCAAGGAATAAGTCCAATTCCAAAGTGATTTTTTGGTACATCTCTGGGAAGGCAACCATCACGATAATAGGCTGCTTGAACATCTTGACATAACCACTCTTTCCTCAGAGTTTGGCATTTGCAACGAACAGTGACCTAGCAAAGAAAGAGTTTCAGTTCTGAAGATCAATATGCATTCAATAACAGGTGCATTTAGTTTGAAATAGTTGGAATAGGATAGCGCATAAACTCAGACCTGTCCCATTGTAGTGGGTTATGTAATCTTCAATACCGAAAGCTAAAGTGATAACTATAGTCTCACACTACCTTTTTAGAACATTTATCAGGATATGGGCATTGACCAGGATGACATGTCTCAGGACACAGATGTGTACAATATGGCAACTTTCTGCAAGACCAAGGTGACCAATAAGCCCTCAATCAACTAATTAATTTAATTCAGAGATGGAGGAAAAACTAAAAGCATATATATGCTACTTTTTCAGTTAAAACTCTTTCTGGATGATAAGTTAGGCCAAGAAAAATACTGCTTCAGGCTCCATATTACCTGTGACAAGGCCCACGGCATGATCGAACAGACTCTTGATCCTTGGCAGACAAGCTGTTGTAGTAGATGCACTCAAAAACATGGACCATTGAGCCACAATGACAAGACCGTTTAATGAGCACTTTGCATGGAGGGCACTCTCCAGGATGGCAAGGCTGAGGGCAGTGATGAGGACACTTCGGCTCTCTTACCTGATCAATGAAGTTTAATACAAAAAACGCAGATTATAGCTGAGTTCAGAAAGTAAAGAGATGACTTCTGAGCTTCTGAAAAGAAGACAAAGGAACCTTCACTGACTTGACTCAACAAATGTGATAATAGTTTGACAGATAAAAAAACAATAAATGAGAAAGAAAACAGCACAATGGAGAAAATAATATACAATGAAATGGAATGTTCAACACCTTTTCACATGGAAGAGTACAATCTTCACAAGGCTCACTTCTCTGTAGCTGTTCCGAGGAGGACAGTGTCTCTAAGGCATGGCAGGTTTTAGTACAAAAATGATTACCGCATGGCAAAGGGTTTCCACACAAATTTTCACAGCAAAATTGTGATCTATCAGAGCAGACCATCTAATAGGAGGGGGGAGAACATTTCATTAAAAGCGCAAGAGTAAATAAAAACAAATTGAGTTTGAACAAAATCATGCAAAAGAATCTTCCTTCAGATGTTAATTTACAGCTTATGAGAAGAAGCAAAACAAACCATTCTCTCTGCTCCAATGTGTTGCCCAACACATGATCTCCATACAAGTTCAGGACAAGGAGGGCAAGCTGTGCCAGGAATACCTCCAGTCTGCCGTATTGTCTTTTTTTTCTTTGGCTTCAGTGTAAACTCTGGATTAGGAGGAGGTTGTGGACCATGACACCTTATCATGGAGAGGAAAAAAAGAGTTAGGGAAAGAAAAGATACTGACTATAATTTAGATGAGCCTCAAGCTGTCACAGAACTACTATATCATATTTGAGCAGAATATAAACCCTAACTTGTACTCTCTACTCATGTCTAAACTCTTGGAAGTTCAAAACTCAACTATTTAAAGTTCACGTTTCACATTTGAAATTCCATTCCTTTCTCAAAAGAAGGAAGTAAGGGAAGCAATCCCTGAGTGATATCTTAAATTGGTAAACATAGGAAACTCCCAAACCTTAATTTGCATTTGTGGCCACAAGGGTACTCTTCTTCACACGGAAGCCGACAAGTAGGACAGGCTCCATAATGACATTTGTGAGGCTAGTCAAGAATTACATAATCATTAATGATGGGGAAGAAAGATGCAACATCCATAACCAAACATGTAATAATTTTTCACTTAAGGAACATACAGCTATAATGATAAAATCAATATATATTGGTAAATAATAAAGAATAAACAAAAGCCTATCCATGATAAAAATTTCTTGTAGGTGCACACTTCAAGCGCTTATATAAACAAGGTTTATTTTACATTAATAGAGCCCTAAAAGACCACCTAATAACTAACAACCATCAGGTTAAGTATTTCACAAGGAAAACCAATTAAGCCCCGCCAATCACTCAAATAATAGGGTACTCATTATCTGATTTAGACCATATTATGAAGTCTAAAATGTAGAAATAAAAACAAGAAAAATTAATGACAATGCATCAAAAAAAAAAACGTTAAAATCCATTTAATACACCAGTTTGATGTTAAGATATATTAATAAAATCATTCACTCAAGCATCATCCAATAAGCTTCTATCTGATACTAGTATTATTAAAATTTTTATCATTCATATCCAAATTTACAGAATAACCATTTGTGATGGTGATAAAGTAAGTTTCCTCAATAATTTTTTTTTTTTTTTTAAATTGACGGTCACTTTCACATTTGTTGTTGCAACCATCTCTTTATCCTTCATCAAGAGAGTCATTTGTTATTATCCCTTCTTGCCTGCTTTCCAATATGCTTATGGTATTTAATTATGCATTAAGAACATAATTAAGTAGCAAGTACTCAACAAAGGGCTGAAGCCCAGCCCTAAAAGGTAAACGCTTGAATTAGCTCGTCCTAAATTTCATATTGGTTTAACAAACAGAGACTATCAGATAGGGGTGGAAATAAGCTGTAGGCCCCTGCATAAAGCCTAGCCTAGCCTATTTAGTAAATAGACTGGGCTTATATTTAGGCCTCTTTCCAGGCCTATTTAGGTAAACAGGCCAAGCCTACAAGCCTATAGGCATGGCCTATTTAATTTGCCTTATTATATATTATATACTATCAATCAATTTTATAAATTATTTATAAAATTACAAATTTTGGTTTGATCCAAAGATCAACCCCCTTTCATTCATCTATCATTCACCTCTACCTCTTTTATTTTCAATTGCCCAAGCTGGCAATGTTAGCTTACTTCCTCTCCCCTAATTTTTGTTGTTTGTGAAAACATAACAATTGTTATAAGTTTATTTTAGTGATGCCTAAATGAAATATTACAATCTCAGTAGGAAGAGTTTGCCACAATTTATGTGGGAAAACTAAAAAAGGTAAAATCCAGTTTTACATGCCACTTGTTGCGCTTACTTAATTTTAAAAAATATATCTATTTAGTCAACAGATGATTAGTTTTTCTTATTCCTACATGATCCAAAAACTATTGTTACTATGGATTCTTTTCTTTTTCTTGCTAAATTCTTATATCGCAAGTGAGAATATATTCTAGACTTTTAAGAGATAACATAGGTTTTTAAATAGGTTTGAAGGGCTATACATGGACTTTGAGGCCTAGACATTTAAGCCTATTTAAAGGCCTACATTTTAAGTAGATCATTCAACAGGCTTCAAGCCTTCTCAGGTCCTTCGCAGGTTCAGGCTCAGGCTCAAAAAAAAGCTTTTATGTAGGTTCAGACCCAGGACTAGGCTTTAGATATCTACTACAGGCCCAGGCCTATTACCTAAAGCCTAGCCTAGCCTATTTTCATCCCTACTATCAGGGTAAAAGGCCAGTTAATCAGCCAAAGGTATGATATCAACATTTATAGAGAAGGAGAGATTCTAGAATTTTTCTGTTCTTCTATTTTTCATTCCTCCGTCACAGCCACATGCACACATTTTGGAGTGTTGATGGAAAGTATACAATGTTTCAATAAATCTTCATCTAGAAATATAAATATCTACAGAAAACAAAATCAATAATCAATGGTACCTTGGAATTTGGCGCATGCCTGCATAAAGGAGTAATAGGACAACGTTTTGGGCATTTAGGTGGCTTTTGATTCATTTCAGTACCGCAAGGAACCTGGTACAAAATCCACCACTCAGCATAGTTGTTGCCAAGCATTAGTAGAAATTAATGCAATCGTCATCTAGATTGAAGATCCAGATAATAGAAAGAGTTGAATAAAAATTACAAATGGAATGTACAAATACAAAAGGAAGAAATAAGAGAAAAGATGTTTTATGCATGCATTTGTAACTTTATTGACATAAACAATCAGCAAGATTAAAAAGGAAAAATAAATACTTTTCCATAATAAAAGATAAACAAATAACAGCATTGGTTTGAATCTTGTAAAAAATTATCCTAATCTAACAAAATATTAGAAATTTTGAAATGACACACACTTTGAAAATGCAAGTATTGCAAATAATGACCCTGATAGCCAAACCCAACCTCAAAATGTGTCTCACCACATGCACATGAGATTGTCACCATTATTGGACATGGAGCACAGGGACCCCTGCGAGAATAAATTTGGCCACATCATACGGTTCCTTGAACTTCAAACTTTTCAGAACAAAATTATATGCATCTAGCATCAATTCGGTACTACATTTTAAAAGATGAAGTTCGTCAATTTTTACAAAAATATTCAAGAATAATAGTTTAACTTATCATGTAGGCTTTGTATTTGTGTCTGTGTGTGTATAAACTCTTTTGAAGCTAAGATTTCACTATGGATATTATAGTATTGCCAACAACACAGCTGTCTTCTCCTTACATACAGGACAACCAGCAGCAGTCAATAAGCTTCACCAATATGAAAGCGTTCAAAAGTTTTATAAATTTTGAAGTATATAAAAGCCTTCAAAAGTTATATTTATATCCAAAAACCTGAGCAAATCCAATTGTTCAGGAGGAATGATAGAAAGTGTACATAATATCACTGAGTTTGAGGGCCTCTGACTTCGATCTTCAAATAGATCAGGCAGGCAGTCTCAGATTCAAGAAATTTAAACCATGGGCAAATTTTAGCCGATTGGAAATTTAGAAACATGAGAAAAGGACATACCGGTGGCATGGAGAAGGACATTTATGGTTTTTACATCGAAGCCTCTTGCCACATATCTAAAATTTTTCAAAATAAGAAATAAAAAATCACTCTTACATTGTCATAAGTCATAACAAGTTTCTAGCTGAAATGAAGCACTAACTCAAGAAGATGCACATACCTCTGAACATGGAGGGCAGTCACCATCACAGCAGCGACGTTTACATGGATGCCGCCCACAGTCACGTATCCTCTGACACTTCCTTTCACATGACAACTCTTGATAGCAAGGGACCTATTCTACATGAGGTTAACTTTGCCTACTGTGACTATAAGACTGCCGATCAAGATGCATTCAAAGTCATGACACTTACCTCTTTCTTCAGGCTCCCACAACGGCAGGATTTCCTTACAACAGTTCTGCAGGTCTCAATGCATTGCCCACGGTGGCATCTCTCAGGGCACTTGTGATATCCGCAACTGAGCATTTTATCGCAAGTCGCTCCACACAATTGTACCACAGCATCACAAGGAATGTCTCTATAAGTCCTCTTCCCGCATGGACACGTCCTCTTACCCTGAAAAGGGCACTCGCCACACCCACTGGAATGGCATCCTTTCTGACAAATGTGCTTCCCGCAGCTAAGAACCTTCCCGCATGGAGTATCGCATTGAAAAATGCGATCACAACACTCCCTCTCCTCCCTTTTCTGCCCGCATTGGCACTTAAAAACTCCACGGGCTCGGCAAGGTGGGCAAGGGCCAACATGACAGATCTCAGAACACCTGTGAACACCACAGTCCAAGAGCTTCGAACAAGGATTGTTACAGGAAAATTCCTTATACCCGCATCTGCGAACGTCTTGAAGTGACCCACAAAAGCACCGAGACTTGACAAGCTTTGGGCATGATGGGCATGGCCCTGGATGGCACAGCAACAAGCAATAATGCCCGCAATTGTTCTTCAACGGCCTATTACAAACGTCGCCACATGAATGTGGCAATACCCAGGGATCATCACTTGGAGGATTCTCCAATTTTCCACAGAAACACACATAGGATTTAGGGATCTGAGTTTTGGAGTATTCAGCCCTGCATTTAGGGCAGTTCCATGTGGCAGACTCGGCAGCCTTGTCAACTGTAACAGGTAGGCGCGTTGCCGCGCGCGCGGCGGCGAGGTCGGATGCCTGGCGCGCCCAGCTCTGTATGCAGACAAGATGAAAGACAGCGTAGCAGAGGGAGGAGCAGGACCAAGTGGGATCGGAGAGTCTGATGCGTTCGAGGCATATCAAGCATGATAGAGCACCGGAGGAGGAGGATGTGAGAAAAGACTGGATCTTTGAAAGGTCAGCAGCAGTTGCCGATGACTGGCCAATGAACTCGAAATAAGATTTGAAAATGGAGTCTGAGAGGTCCATGTGGCGAAGTAGCACGGAGCTAGACTGCCCATGGTCGGAGTCAGAGTCAGAAGAGTCCGACAGAAGCGGTGGGTGACTATGGTCATGAGCAGAGTTCATGCTGGGGATGTGCCAATACAATCGGCCACCCGATGTTGGGGATGGTTATAATCTCGTTATGTTCTGTGTTCTGTCCAGCGGAGTACTAGGAAATCGATGTCCCGCTTCAAGATGTAATTATTTACCCCACCGAGAAGAAGAAGAAGAAGAAATTATTTACTCCCTCGCCCATGCTAAATATAAGAATTTGATTTTAAAAAAAGCCTTCTATACCTATATAACCAATAGCATTGATGTGAGAAATAAGCATAATTGTAAGGATAAAATAAATTGATACTCCCTCCGTTCCTTATTATAAGAGACATTTGATGCTTATGGCTTGTTCCTATATATAAGAGACACTTAAAAGTTGTCTCTACTTTTTTGTGTTGATTTCCTATTTTACCCATATTTATTGTCTCCAACTCACACTCTCTCTCCTTCCCACTTCTCTTTCTTTTAATAATTTAATTGTTCTCTCTCATGCTCTCTTTTCTTATTAATGAGGGCATTTTTGGAAAAAAGATTATACTTTTTACACATTAATTGTTCTTAACTAATTTTAACTGTTTTTTTTATCAACGTAATTCGGTTATTCGTCTCTTATAATAAGGAACGGAGGGAGTAACTTATATTTAAAATCAAAATAAAATTACCGAGAAGAACATTTTATAAAAATTTTGACACAACTATCTTTATTAATTGCAGTGGGGCATGCGGGAAGAGATAATATAAAAAAAAAATTGAGATAGGCTATGTTTTCTAGGTACAAGTTCTAACTATGCAACAATCTTACAATCATAAGCTAAGATGGCCTCCACTTGTGTCACGGAGGAGTCAGTCGGCATAGTCGGAAGTCAAGTCCCAACCTGGCCAGTATAATCAATTCATGCACTGAAGCTTAAAAACCCATTACTTGTTCATTAATCTCTTCACTTCAGCGATAGTCCCATGCTCTCACAATGAAGTAATTAAATCCATTTTTGTTTCATTTCAGTTAGACTGAAGCACAATATTTCAAGCTCCAGTGTCGCGTGCAATTTTCAAATCATGCAAGCAAGCCGCTACCTAGCCATCATCCGGCGAAACTCAGAGGCCATCCTATGACTGCGTGAGAAACACGTGGTCAAGGCTTTTAGCATGACTCAGTCCCGATTCGCATTTCTTCTTGGCTTTACAAGCTTCATCCTAAGTAACCAAACCATTTTCCTTTCTCACATCTGAGTTAGCCCAAAGAAAGCCCTCGTTGCATTTTTTTTCAGAGTCTCGCAAGCGCTGGCAGGTAAAAGAGCGATCTGCATAGTGTGCCCAGGTGTGGAGGATGTGACTGAACACATAAAAGAGTTGCGCCGCTCGCTAGGGAGAGGGAATTAGCTTTCCATGTTAAAAGGCAGCCCTTAACTTTATCCGCAACCACTTAAAAAGGTGTTTTTGATCACCCTTTGTGATGGAAAGAAACCCAAGGTGTTTTTCTAAATTCACCGTCTGAATAAATTTCAAAGTCAAACTAATTTCGCTATTCCAAAAGAAAAGTAAATTCGTATTTGAGACAAATTTACCTGACGTCCTGAGCTTTTATACAAAAAAAGGTTGATACGGTTAGTAATCACTCCAAATTAGTGCAAAGAAATGTTCCGAAAAAAATAATAATGTCATTAGTAACAAATACGGTGTAACAAGAATTAACATCCGTCTAACTACGATCCCACCATTAAATATTGAACTTGTATCTTATCTAATTCAGTGGATAGTCTTGTTCCAACAATATTTGTTGTGAGAAGAACAGCCAAATTTTATTCCATTGTTTCCACTAGTTTAGACTTGTAGCTTTCATTGGCAAGGGATTTTGACAATCCCCTCTTACCTGACTCATATCCTTGAAACTCAAACCATTTTTCGCCGGAGCAGCTCCATTTCAAAGGTAAGGCGCGATAGCCACTCGGCAAGAAGGAGATGAGCCATATGTGGACCTGATGGAGGGAAGGGCCTCAAAAAGCGAAGGCCGGTCTCTTGTTCACTTGTTTCTGAGTTTGGTTCCCTATCATAGCATATTGGCCTAAAGCTTCTAGATAACATTGTTGTAATAACACGCAATAAGAATAGCGATCAAGTGCTTCCTTTGAACTCTGTTTTTTAAAGCTCACGTGTACTTTCTATTTTTTACGATTAAATTTAATACTTTATTTAGTATTTATAGAAATGGAAGAATTTTTTACAATACCCTATATCTTTTACAAAAATTATTTAATAATTTTTAATCCTTCTTAAACATAAGAATCACCTCAGTGCTAAAAAGTGAATGCAGCGTCCATCTTAAAAAATGGTAGTAAACTTTAGATATATATTACAATAACACTACTGACGGTATATTGCCAATTTTTGCTCTCTCCCTTCATTTTTAGTCACTTCCACTCCAACACATCTTAAAACAGTAAAGAAACATGAAAAGGATACTGATGTGCGAATGCAAACTAACAATTCATATGGTAAGGAATTGAAGCACCCCATAAAAATCTTGCTTGAGATATTTTGTGTGGTGTGTGTGTGTTAAAAAGCCTTACAACACAAAGCCAACTCTTCAACACCCCCCCCCCAAAAAAAAAAAAACAGGCAATCAAATCATACACACATCTTAGAGCATCCCTCAACAGAATTATTCACATCACGCAGCAATACTTACAAAACAAACTCTCAACTAATGGAACCTTTAAATGTCTGCACAATGTCAACAAAATTCAAAGCGCATAAAAAGCTTTACAGAGTTGTACTTATCTCCCTTGCGGCTACACAGTGGAACTGCCCGAATTCCACTTCTTAGCTCTGAAACAGGGAGGCATGTTTGCCCCCCAAAGTCATCCTTCTCTGACATGTCATACTCATGAACTTCTATGCGAAGCACAGCTAATTCTGGAACAGTAAGGGGGAACTCGAACACTTCATTCCAAGAAGGTAACCAACTGTCCTCTATTGTCTTTGTTTTTCTCATGACATTATCAGCAGGGACTCCAGCAATCCCCACCTGCATAACAGTTATCGATTTAAATTGAAATGTGAGGGTCATCGCGGATGCTAAATTACAAAATGGTTGAAAAACAAATGTCAGATGAATGGTATCTGATCATAGCAATAATGAATAACCCCTGCATTTTCAATCTAAATGAAACAGGAAACTTTTAGCCAGACCTAGAACGTGAAATTCAGAAACGGCAAACATAAAGATGCGGCGGATCATGTTAACTAACCCTTGCGTAGAAGTCTGGAGGTGAGAACTGATCAAAATGTGTATGGGGGAAATCAATATACCATCCTTCCCCCATGTATACAGTCACCTTCAAAAGAGCAAAAACAGGATGATCTTTGTTCAGTGCTAAAATACGATAAAAAGCGACATCTATGTGCTGCTGTTTGCAGGTGCAGAAAAACTAGATCCGATTGACGCGGGCTTGAAAGATTGAATATACAGATTCACCAAGTAAGAAAGCACTTACCTTCAAAGTAGTCTTCACAGGCAACTCAGCTTTAGGATCGAAGACCTCATTATTCGGACCAGTCTTTAATAGAAAATCGGGTTTTTTAACGTAACCACATCCGCCATTGGCTTTGAACATTCCTTGCATCAACCAAAGTGATCTGCCGTGCCCCTGTCATGAAATCACCCACATGGAAAACTGGAGTAAATATCTTTCATGATCTTAAAAAATATCATAGTCATAATAAATATATGATGTCAAAGACCACTGGGAGTCAAAGATACGTGTAATAGAATTCTTCTGCGATTTAGCTTAAAGAAGAGTCAATACAAACTCATATGACTAAGGGAAACCTGCAGGCAAGAGCACATACTAACTTTCCAATATTGTTTATTGGTATAAATCATATTTTTAATTTCCATCATCCTCATAGTTTACTAACAGGACGAACTTTCCCAAATTTCTAATGTCCTCGACTTGAACATAAATAGAATATAGATATATATCAGAAAAAAGGATATAATACCCGAGAGAACGGAGACGAAAACAGGAAAAATATAGAAGAAAGGAATAGAAACCTGCATGTTAAATGCAACCATTTGAGCTCCATGCATCCACCCAATCAGCGGGTTATAATTTGATGAGGTAATTCGAGTGCCTTTCGGGTACACCCTTAATATATTACGCTGAGTAAACCTGCAGAAAAGCCACCAATGGGTGCTCAAATGAAATGGAAAGACCTCTTTCCAAAAGGTAGTCATTGAGGGGAGAGAATCATTTCACACACAAACACCCCATTTAACATCTCATACTGATCAATATGGTACTTGGGCATCTCATATCATTTTAGTCTCCAACAAACTTACTGGACATGCTTCTAAATCATGCTATTGTTAACACACCAAAATTTTTTACTGTGAATATTGGCTTTGTTAAAACAGCATATAGACCAATGAGCCCCTAGCATTATCAACTATAAAGCGGCAAGATGCTCAAGCAGGGGGCCATCAGATATGCAGAAAATCATACTCAGTCAATCTCGTATCATGCCTCAAATTTCATAAAATGCCAGAATTGTCAATAGAAAAAGTAGCCCATCTAACAATGAAATTTAGTATTTTTGCTGAAAATAGAAGAGCTATATTCTGGAAACAATTCATGATTTACAGGATGCCAGTTCATGTCGAAAGAGCTCATTAGAACCAACAATTAATACCTGACGATGTCCTTTCCATGAGCTTCAGCAGCCTTTTCAAGCTGTTGCTCACTCAAGCTTAGACGTCTCACCTTGTCTGGATCCACTTTGAGACATTCATCTAATCCACCTTTAGGTTTACCAGCATGAATGGCAATTAAACGCTTATATTCAGGAGCAGCATTTTGATTTGACTTGTCTGCTTCATCAAGATCGTCCTCGTCATCATCTTCATCCTGATTGTCCTGTTAAAGGTGGTAAATGGCATGTCATCAATTCTATTTGCCAAAACAAATGTGATAGCAATTCATGTAAAGCATCGCCTGAGAGTTTCATACCTGGTAATCAGCTATAGCCCCACGTTTCAGGCTTGGGACCTCTTTCCCCCACGCTTCTTCGTCTCCTAAGGCCTTTCCCTTCTGTGATTCATCCTCTTTCTCCTTTGCTTCTTTTGCCTGAAGGAACTCCTTAGGTGGTTTGGTTGATATGATAATCCTTTTCTTTAGCGACTCAGGAGAAGGAAATTCCTTCAAGACCTCTGAACCAGGATAAAATAGTATGTCTCCAAATGTTTGAGTGACCATCTAAATAAAAAATGGAGGAGGGTTGTCAATTATAAGAATGTATTCATTTTGAATCCCAATAAACTCAAAGAAACCGACCTCAGCCACTTTAGCCTGAAGATCTGGAGTGAGGTGATCTTCTAGAGTTATCACAACTGGATATTCAGACGCTTCAAAGGCATACTGCTTGATGGATCTCAAACATTTGATGAGCTCCACAGGAGTAGTCAGCGTCCTACGTATAGAATAATAAATAAATGTGTAAAATAAATTCAAAAAGTTTAGGAAAATGCCAAGTTCAACAGGTTTACCTAAGCCAGTTCTACAACTACGACTATTCATTTATTTTCTTAAACAGAATTCAAGCATAATCTTCTACTTTGTCCATTTTGCCGAATTTCAAAGAAAAATGTACTTTTGCCAAACAGGTTTTCCTTTAACAGATATTAGCGTCATCATGACAAAATAAACAGAAAAAGAAATTGTCATCATATTCATATCATCAGATATATAATTTTCCCTATAAAATTTTCTCGCAAAAGAAGAAAATTGAGGTGATATTGAATTCGAATCACAATGTTAATTATGAATTTTTCAATCCATAACAATTAAGGGAGCCTTTGGTTAATGAGCGAGCTCATACCTTCCATGAAGAACGTCCACGTTATCCTTTGTGGCATTAGGCCATATGTCCAATTCGATTACCCTTACACCTCTCTTCAGTGCATGTATGATGGGTTCATCACTGCAATCACTGCTAAGCTGATTCCCAGTTAAGTAGGAGTTATGGCCAGTGTATATGAAATAATGAGACAAGGGTAAAGTCATGTCATGGTGCACCTGTAACAGAAGAAATAATTACGCAAACAAAATAATAAGAATAAATAGTAATTATAATTATAAAGAGTACTACATACGTAGGTGATCATGACTTCTGGAAGTTCAGATGTACTTTCATATCAATAAATTGGACCCGAACCCTTGGCTAATTTACCAGATACGTTGCCCCCGAAGTTCACTAGGGAAATGGGAGGACTTTAATGTGCAAATTTAGGAGTCCGAAAAGTTAATCTGAAAATAAGGGAATATTGTTGTAAATGAAATTAAATAGACCCAAAACCCGTTGCTTTGGACCTAGATGCTTTGAGTTGCAGGACTTGGGTGCCAGAAAAGGAGATGCTGAATTATAGCACAAATTATTGTAAATGCACCTGAATACAGCATGGATTAATGGGATAGCATCACCCCAATACCCTGTATTGAGCCAAGAACATAGTCCATTTGGCTTCGATAGGAGATCCCCCACCCCCCCCCCAAAAAAAAAAAGGAAATCTGATGAAGAGGATATCCCAGCAATGCCATACCGTGATCGAATTCTCTAAAAATCTAGCTTTTTCCTGTTTCATCAGTTCTTTTATTAAAAACTTCTTCAATTATGGATCCTAACAACAGTAAATGAATTTGATCAAAATGCACTCAAATGAAATTAAGATGCATTGAAAAAATGCACCAGCCAAACGAGGGGAGGGAGGAAGGGGAGCAACTTGCCTTCCCTCCCCTTAAAAAAAACCCGTTCCAAACATGGTATAAATTTAAGACAAGGCTGTCAAGCAAAACAAGAAAAGGCAGAGTTACCCCTTGAGAAGGTAAAAGCGGCTGGTTAGCGTCACTGAAGAGGTACTCGAAGAAACCATCAAGATGGAGGCCACCCCGATGAAAGATATTCAGATGCTTTAGGCCATCAATGATGGTTTGCGCATCCCCCTCGGTGGCTTTCTCTTGTTTCTGCACCTCTATCAAGAACCTTTGGAGGTGAGCGGCGTTCATGGAACCATTGTCGGAGTACTGTTCGAAAAGAGTCTTGACCTCGGCCGGCGCTTCCGAGACGCCCAGCTTGAAGCCCCGGCGGCAGCAGAAGCAGACTTTGTAACTCTGTTTGGACATAGAATTTCTTTCCAAATTGCAAGAATCGGAAATGCGGGAGAGGTTGAGGATGAGGAGTGCCTTTTGATGGGAAGCGGATGCGTTCCTTGTGTTGTGGGCAATGACAGGAGATTACAATTGAACAAGGGTTGTCTCCAGAAAGGGAAGGATGGACCCTGCGGGTCCTACCTGGGAACCTCCGACCAGTAAGATCGCGGCCACCTGGCACAATACACATCCGAACTCTTGTGATTGATCTGTTATCGCATAACATCCGTTAAAGAAAATGTTCAAGTCGCCTGTAAAGCGTCACTTGGCATCATCACTGTTCATAATTATTCTTGATGACGACGACGAAGCTGATAATTTATTTAAATTTTTTCCTTTTGGTCAGCATATGCTTTTCGTTTTGCATCCACTCCAAAATTGTGAATCATAAAATGGTGAAGGTTTAGAATTTTCTAAAATTGTGTCATATTACGAAGCACTGTATATTTCCTTGTGGTATTTGTCTTTTTTGTTTGTGATGATTTGAATTCACTTTGTCGATTTCAATGATTCCATTATCATCTGCTTCATCCTGGGCCTTTGGCATCTTATCTTTAATACCCCGACAACTGCTACAATTAACTGACTCATTTATTAGACATCTTTTTAAATTAAAAATATAAATTTATTTTTATTCTATCTAAAATATAAAAAGTTGGTTAATTTTTCTTACATACTAAAAAAAAAAGAAGTTCAATCATTTAATCTGTTCTAAAATAAGAAAATTTTCATATTTTACCCTTAAAAATATAAAGTTGCTTTTGATATTGTGCTTTTATTATTTTTCATCTCTTATCTCTCTCTCCTATATTTAATAATGGTGAAAGTCAAAAAAATCATATTAATTATCCTGACAACATCTTCTATTTTGAATCATAATTTTTTCTAACCAAAATTTTATATTATGGACAGGTGGGAGCACTTCATTGAGCTATGTTATCCTTCCTGTTTGAGTCAAATTAAAATATTCAAAATTTCAAATTCATCATAACAAAAATTAATCACAGTATCTGTTTTATTACAATAAATTTATGTGAGTTAAATTCCAAAAACTCATTTGTAAAAATATTTACAGGTCGTTCATCAATAAAATACTCACATTAGGAGCAGAATTAAATTTACTTAAAACTAGACGTGGGTGCTCATGTGTTGTTTGTGTGGGCAAGATTGAGAGGAGGAAAATATATCGATCAAGAGAGTTTGGGAAGCAGTGTTCGGTGGGGTTTTGCTGTGAAGGGGTGGGCAGTGAATATGATAATCCTAAGCAGCAAAACAGCATCCAGGCAGCAGCAATGGGATACCTACCCTCCTCCCTAACTTTCTGAGGATTGATTTGGAGATGGATGGCAGCCATTAAAACATAAATAGCAAAGAAAAAAGGTAATGCAGTTGTGTTGGAGGGAGATGTGATGCTAATGGTGGTGAGGCAAGGGAATTGGGAGGCTGGGTCATGACGCTCACCCTTCAACCCCATTCCCTTAACATCATATCACACGAGATCACTTCCCTTGAAAGGCCATCCGCATCTAATTCAGGTCTCACTCTCTCTCTTCCGGGTTTGATTTTGATGTGGTAACAGTTAAGATGTGAAACTGGAAATCATGTCAATTTCGCGTACTCTGCAGTTCCCGGCTCGCTCTGTCTGCGGCAGTCAAACGGGAATCTACCTGTCCTGTTCCTCACCCGAGCTTGGATAAGCATCGCATCCCTACCTCTGATTTCTCTTTCCCCATTAATAACTCAACCGCGTGATTATGACTCTTCGCAGCTTCTGCCATTGATTGCCTCATCCTCAACGTCTTCGCAAACGGCATTCTGCTCCTGAAATCCACATTCACCGCCATTTATTAATTCACTACCGAGCCAAAAAGTAGTTAATTACAATTTCTCAATTACGTGTATCATTCCAGTTCGCTTGCAGAATTTGTGTTCCTAACCCGGTTATTAATATAAAAATTAGTTTAACTAATTAATTAAATTAGTTATTTATAATAAACAGATGTTTTCTTTCATAAATTATAATTATTTATATTTAGGACCGGAGGAATATTGTCTTTTATAAAATATCTTTGCTAATCATGTGTATTAACTAGAACTATCATTTGATGAAATTTTTAATATGTGTAACTATTACGAAAACTATTTTTTTTAAAAATGAATAAACATGAATGATAAAATGGATTAAGATTTTATATTTAAGATTAAATTAAATATCAAACTAACTTTTATATTAAGAACAAAAGATACTTCTCTAGTCCTTACTATAGGATCTAATTGTTAAGTTGATTTTTATCCTAAATATAAGACCTATTTCTCATATTTATTAATTTTTTCTAAATCATCCTTATAGATACTCTTTCAACTATATTCAAATAAAAGAGAGAGGGAGAGTATTAATAAAGATGATTATGGTATTTTAGGAAAAACATGTCACATTTCTTATAATTAACTAACTTATCTAACTTTTTTTAATCTAATCAAATTAATTAAATATATTTTATATTAACAATTAGAGGAGTAATATTATTTAAACTAGTTTTGTGTTAGAGGCCCCGAGATAGCCAACCCCCTGCATGATGTGAGGATGAAACCCCTCGATTAAACCAACTGAGGCGAAAAAACAAAATAATTAACAACCTATTTGGCTGGGCGTTCTAGGCACCATAAGTGACTTATGAGGCTGAAAAGCACGATTACAAATTTAATGTTGTTTGGTTGAATGATTGGGTAAGGTGGCTTTTATATAAAAAGTTACAATAAGTTATAAGCTAAAATTAACAGCTTATTGAAAAAGTAGCTTATAAAGAAGTGAGATTAGATAAAAGCTAAATTGGATAAGCTAAATTGTGTTTGGATTAGAGTTCAGAAAAGCTAGATTGCAAAAGTGATATTGGTAAAAGGTTGTTTGGATTATGATTGAGTAAAAGTAAGTTTGGTTATAAAATAACCAAAATAGATATGAGTTTTAATAAATAATGAAACATGATTAAAAAAATAATTTCACATAATACAATGAAATTAAAATAATTTAATATGAAGAAGTCATAAAAAATATTTTAAATATAAAGTGAAACATGAAAAAATAAAAGTATATTTTTAGGAGCATATTTAAAAATAAAAATATATTTCTAATTTATTCATTACTTTCAACTAATTTTAACTGATTATTTATTATCTACAAATTAGTTATTTGAGGCTTATAATAAGAATCAAAAGAGGTAATAAATTTCTTAACTTTCTCTCTCTCCATATTTCAAAAGCTATAAGTCATAAGCTGTTAATTTTAGCTTATAGCTTATTGTAGCTTTTCAGACAAAAGCCCAATTGCAGAAAAGTTGATCCAAACAGACCCAATTGTGTCAATCGAGCTTATAGAGCTTATAAGCTACTTATAAGCTCAAAATAAGTGATGCCAAATAGACACTATAACTTATAGCTTATGACTTATGACTTTTGAAATATGAAAAGAGAAAAAACTAAGAAATTTATTATCTCTTTTGGTTTTTATTATAAACTTCAAATAACTAATTTGTAGATAACAAAAAATCAATTAAAATTACTTGAAAATAATAAATAAGTTAGAAATATATTTTTATTTTTAAATATGACCCTAGAAATATATTTTATTTTTTCATGTTTCACTTTATATTTAAATTATTTTTTATGATTTCTCTAAAGTTTTAAAATTTAATTCATTCAATCAATTTCACTTCGGCATATTAATTAATTTAAATTTATTATATTACCTCAATTCATTTTTTTTCATCTTTCACTTTATATTCAAAATGTTTTTTTATGATTTCTCCAAAGTTTTAAAATTTAATTCACTCATTAGATTTGACTTCTTCATATTAAATTATTTTAATTTCATTGTATTATGTGAAATCATTTTTTTAATTATGTTTCATTATTTATTAAAACTCATATCTATTTTAGTCATTTTACAACTAAACTTATTTTTACTCAACCATAATCTAAACAACTTTTTACCAATCTCACTTTTACAAACTAGTTTTTCTGAACTCCAATCCAAACACAATTCAACTTATCCAATTTAACTTTTATCTAATTTTACTTTTTTAAAAGTTACTTTTTTTAATAAGCTATTTTTCCAATATGATCCAACGACCCTAAGAAAAGTTGGGAAATAGTTCACCGGCAGCCTGACGGGAAAGGAAAAAAAGAACCGAGAGGGTATTGTGCAATGTGCATAGAATATTAATAGTCAAACCTAAAAGAATCCTTGCTTCTTCTTTTTTTTTTTTTTACCAGCTAAAAGAATCCTTGCTGTAATCCACACAGAATAAATAAAATATGTAAATACTTGTACTATTCGTTAAACATGTCATACAACTCAACTGAAATACCATGCAAAATTTGGGAATCCAGTTTCGGTGATGAGCACCCTAAATTTATTATTAGATCTAGATGGTTTATATTTTATATGAATGGTTCGAATTTTATTTTTTTTATTTTTATTCATTCAAAATAATTGTTTTAATATGTGTAGAATTTACAATAAAAATAATATCTTAACTAACATTTTTTTCAAAAAATAATTTTTCTACTTAAAAATAATTAATTAAAAACTTTAAATATGGACTGTTCAAATCACATATAAACAATATAAATCTGACGAATTTAAAATGCCGATCAAAATAGTAAGTATTGAAATTGGGTCTAAAGTTTGATGTTTGCACTTTCATAGTCATTTCAAGTTGAATAAAAATTCAACAAAAGATGCTGCCAATTAAATTTAAGAAATAGACCAGAGAAAAGATAAAAACAGTACAGTCTCAAAACAAGTATAAACATTTCACATCGCACTAAAAGCACTTGGCAAAAATCTGAGCCCTAATCATTGTTCCTCAAATACTTCCCATATGTAGATCTGGCCTGCAAGTGGACACCGACTAATTGCTTGCAAGAAACTTTCCACTGGCAGAACCTAATCATGACAAGGATTACCAAAACAAAGGCAAAAAGAAAATGATATCTACTATTCACAGGTAAAAAGTGCCGCTATGGAGACATGCAACATAA